CCCACATTTAGGACCATGAGACATAGAAAGAGTTTTGTGTTTGGTATGCAGTAGAATTGGAGCTCTTTATTGTATTTTGCTTTATTTTATTGCATGTGGATATCCAAATTTTCCAGCAACATACTATGAAAAGAATATCCTTCCCCTTACTCTCACAACCTGCCCCTCCCCTGCAAAATTGAACTATCTTGGAACCTTTGTTAGATATTAACTGACTACATATGTAAGTCCACCTCTGCATGCTTAATCTTTTCTATTGTTCTGTTTATTAAGGTAGCTTCAAAGTAATTCTTAAAGTTGGGTGGTATAAGTCCTCCAGCTTTGCTCTTTTTTTTTTTTTTTTTTTAAAGATTTACTTATTTATATAAGAGGCATGGGAGGGTGAGAAAATTCACCAGAGAGAGCAGGGAGCAGAACAGGCAGACTGAGGAAAGACATTGCTGAGAGGAGCAGCGGGCGAGGCAGGAGAGGTCTGCCATGCCATGTGGGTTTTTCCCTGGCCAGCCAGGAATCGAACCCGTACTGCAGAAGCTGCAGACAGCACCTTTGAGTGCAGCACTCAACCCACTGCACCACCGGGGAGGCCCTAACTTTGCTCTTTATTAATCAAAATTGTTTTGACTATATGAGGTCCTCTTCATCTCATATAAATTTTAGAATAATCTTGTCTATTTTTAAAACTCCTTATATTTACTTGGGTTGCACTAACTCTATAGATCAATCAGGGAAACTTTTACCTCTTAACTCAAACATGTTGAGTCTATAAGTCATGAACACTATCTATCTCTCCATTAAGATCTCTCCAGGTATTTTTAAATTCTCTCATCAATGTCCCAGGATTTTCAGTGAATATTTCTTGCATGCATTTTGTGCAAGTTATTCCTCAGTGTTTTGCATTTTTGATACTATCATATTCATATTTTTAATTCAAATTTTCAATTTCTTATTGCTAGTACATAGAAATACAACTGATTTTATATAATGATTTTTCTATTCTGTGACCTTCATAAACTCACTTGTTACTTAAAGTGACTTTTTTTGTAAATTCCATAAATTGCTTCATTGTTGATCACATTTTCTGTAAATGAAGATAATTTTATTTATGTGATTTCAATCTAATTTTTTTCTTGCTTTGTTGCTCTGACTAGACCCTCCAGTATAATTTGAATGGTGTAGTATACAGTCAGAATGATGAGTCTTGTATTCTTTCTGCTTTGAATGCAAAGCATTCACTCTTTAACCATCAAATATGATGTTAGCTGTAGGTTTTTATAAAAGTTCTTTATCAGATTGAGGGTTTCCTTTCTATTTCTCATTTGCTGATAGTTTGAATTATGAATAGATATTGAATTTTTTCAAATGCTTTCTCCATTTTTTTATCCATTTACCCCCAATGCTTGGGCTGTTTTTGTACATTTTTGGTACTCTATAAATATTTGTTGAATTTGAAGCTTGCTAAAAACTTCTGTGTGTACAAGGTACAGTTCGGCTCTCAGTAGCACGGGACCATCCAAGGGGGACTTGAGAGTATTCAAATGCCTTTTCCACGTGAAGGGTATTATTTTTGCCTAAATGAGATCATGTAATTTTCAACGCATTCTTATGAAGTATCTCCATTTCAAATAAGATATAACTAATAGAATGATTAAAAAGCTATCACATCATTGAGATTAGGGAAGAAGTTCTATGTTTCATTACTAAATAGAAATAAAAATTATAATCATTAAGCTCAGAGAGGAAACAAAGAAACATCCAAAAGGAGCTGGTTTTAATAGGAAGCAAAATGGGGTGAAAAAGAAAGGAACTAGTTGATCTAAAGATGAGGAATGTTGTCCCTTGGCTGTCTATTGGGTGCCTAAGAAAGAAAAGTCATCTTTGCTCGATACTTGACTCAGTTATCAACCATATCCTCTCAGTCAAGGTAATGTAAATTTATGTTATTGGTTTGCAACCCTGAGTATTTGCTTTACAGACAAGGCAAAGAAAATTTAATTTTGGTTACAGATAAAAATGCAGATGTTGGTCAACCTTGAGCTAGAGATGAAGGAAACTTGAAAGTATTAGAGAAATGAGGCAATTTTGAGAAGAGGCATATCTTACCTTATAAAAAGGGAATGTTTAAACCCCTTAGAGCCTCAGGTCCTTGCCTGCAAAATGTGGCACAAAGTCTTGCCCAATGGGTTGTTGTAAGGGTTAAGGAATGTGTCTAAAATGACTAATATGCGGTAGGCACTCAACTAACTGAAATAGTGACGGAGAGGAGAAAAGGAAGGCAGGCCTGTGGATAAAAGGGAAAACTTATCTCCACTCCGAAGGAATAATCTACATGCTAAGGAGTCTAAGGCACCTCACCTATAGACATTTTCACTGCCCAGAGGCCAGGGTGGTGAGTTTGATGACAGGTCCGGGACTGTTGGTCTTGCATGTGGCCTTGGAATGACATGACATGGCGTGACAGTGTCGTGAGTAGTGTCATTGTCCTCAAATTATAGTTGAGGTGGTTCAGAGTGTGGGTGGCCAAGGGACTTGATAAAACCAGCCCTGAAGTATATATATACCCGGCCTGAAAACCAACAACTGTGACTAGTTTCCACTGTCTGCCGCTGAGCCGAATGGCACAATGAATCTGAAACACTGGGTGCGCTCCTGGCATATCCTCTGTACACATTTCTAATGAATAGGCCCGTAGGTTTAATTAAAGGGAAAAAAGATTAATTGTTTCTCCCAACAGCTGCAAATTATTTACATTGCATTTGTGTTGATGGCTAATAAAAGAGCAAAGGAGTGTGGGGACAGCCCAGGGTAGCTGTAATTCTTCCAAGGTCTATAATGAAGTATCGGTTTGAATGCCAACATGTGAGGGTGGATGAGCTTATAGCCCATTCAGACCTGCTATAGGCAGAGATGTTCTCTGCTCTTGGCATGATTCAATCAGTAGAAATGGATCACAGGGCCGAGACCTGAGAAAAGCAAGGCGTATGTCCTTGTTCTTGCAAACTGCCTCTCAGTTTTGTTCATAGTTGCTGTTGAATGTGTGAGAAGGAACAAAGTGATGGCCCAGGCTAGGGCTGCCATCAATCCTGGAATGACTCTTAAGTTCCCTCTGAAAATGTGATGGGTTAGAAGAGCACAGGAGTTAAAACAACAGAGCTATGCTCATTTCTTTGAGCTCATGCTTTGTCATGGCTATTGAAAAAATGAGCAATTTGTGCAATAGAGTATGTATGTATATCTCATATATACTATAATGTCTGTTACATATTGTAATGTGTATTATAATATGAATAGTTTCCATTCTTTTTTGGATGTCAAGAAGTATAAAAGTTTTTTTTTTTTTTTTATTTTCCCAATTGTTAGTTATTAGCCCTGGGACTCTCTTGCAAACGTTACATCCTGTGAAAGTAGATTAATCACCTTCATAGTGGTCACGCCTACCTCTCAGGTTGCTGTGGGAGAATTATATGTGTGATGACACCTTTGAAAACAGTACCAGTGTGTGAGGATTGACTTCAGGACATCTTGGTTATTCTAGGGCTCCCTCTATCCTGTTTTGTTTCTAAAGCAACCCTTCTGCACCCAGACTTCCCCACAAAGTTATGGGGGAAAAATAAAAGGATAAACCAAGGAACTTACACTTGAGTCAGTCAGATCAAAAATTTAGAAAAATCCCTTTTTATGCCATTGTGGAGAACAAATTAGAATGGGACAAGACTTCTTACTGGAAGATTAGACCAGAGGCCCCTGCAGCTATTCCAATGGAGACAGCTGGGCCAGAACCAAATCAAGGAGATAGAATTGGCAGTCATGGAATATTCACTAGAGAAGATTCTCACGTAGGAATATTGTGCCAAGCCTAGCACAAGTCTCACTTCAACTCTCTACCCTCCATTAGTGCCTGTTGACTACAAGTGTCTGGTATTCATTTGCTGTATTTGCTTTAACAAAGTCGGATCAACTGGGTGGCTGAGAACAACAGCAATTTATTGTCGCACAGTTCTACAGGCGAGAAGTCCAAAACCAAGCTATAGGCAGCATCGTTTCTGTTTTGTAGGTCTCTCTCCTAGCTTCTGTTGTTCTTGGATTATGGCAGCACAACTCCAATCTTCAGGTGGCATTGTCCCTCTGGGCACATGTGTGTCAAATGTCCCCCTTTTATAGGGACGTCAGTCATTTTGGATTAAGGCCCTCCAAATGACCTCATTTTGACTTGATTACCTTTTATAAAGATCCTATTTACAAATAGGATCACATTCTGAGCTCCTGGTACTATCTGAGGTACTATCTTTTTTCAGAGATACAATTCAACTGGTAACATATATTTGATTTACATTTTATGTGTTTTGATTTCTATTAGATAAATCATTCAGTTGGTAAAATTACTGAAAGGCAATTTAACTTGCTAGTTATTTTAGACCATTGAGATAGACAGTTTTGAAATATTGAGGAAATATTCAATGTTTGTTATATCTTTACATAAATGTTGTACGTGCCATATATATGTGTGTAAAATTCATTAACAGCTCCTAATGATGGATAAGATTAGATCAAGGTCAGAAATCTCAGCACACAGTTATAACCTGCTACTTTGTTGACAGATAAGCTACTTTAAATCTAAAACATCTGTTCTTTGATAATAACATTTGAGGATTAAAGCTTTTGATCAGTTTTTAATATTATCTGTTTACACCGGGCTTGCAGAAATGAAAATAATGGGATTTTAGTAAGGTGAAAAATGCATGGTCTTAGAGCCAAAAGCTGTTCAAGTCTGGGTGTTGCCCTCACTTTCTGTGTGCCTGAGGGAACTGTTGAACTCCTCTCTGCACATTTTGAAGGTACCCTGAGTATAAAATGGAACTGACATAATCTATGTCCTCATGTGGTTAAAGGGATGAGAGCCTTTGATTGGGCAAATGCACAATATTAATATTTTTATGGGTTAGTTATTCAAATGATGATCTTCAAGGTTAACCTTTGTGTTTGTTCTTTCCTTTGTTTTCTAGTCAATAAGCACAAGCCATGGATCGAGACTTCGTATCATGGAGTCATAACGGAGAACAATGACACAGTCATTTTGGACCCACCACTGGTAGCCCTGGATAAGGATGCACCAGTTCCTTTTGCAGGTAAGATGATGGTTTATCATGACTGGGCTTGACTTTGGAGACATGTTGGGAAACTGTCACTTAGCTCAGGCTCAGGACTTCTAGCTGCTGTTATTACCCTGTGCGTCTCCTAGATCAGCCTGTGATTTCAAAGCTCTATGACTCTTCTGATTTCTGGTATGGATTCTATATGTCTTCATGGTTTTTATCTTTGGTGTCATCTCCAATGCAAGACCCTGGCTGCTGTTTCTTTGGTTAGATGATGTGTTACTGAAGTGGCCTTTGGAACTAGAAAAGTTGGACTAGTAAGATCTTGAGGAAACCTTCTAGAGGAGACTTCCCTCTAGAAAGATGAACAGAGGACAGAGAAAGTGGGTGAGTCTCTGGATCCACTATTTAATATCATGGGCAGGTGAAGACTTATAGTTAGGTAGAATGAAAGAAGAACTAGGAAATACTTGCTAATGGTAGGACGGTGTCCTGCCTTTGAGCTTCAAAGTAGAAGTGGTTATTGAAGGAGAAATCTGAAGGCAGTCCCATTTTGCTTTCTGTAGCTTGTAGTTATAGAGCCTGCTCTCTGTCATCAAGACTACTTCTCCCTCCTTCTCTAACCTTCTGCAAGGTCCAGATCCCAGGAGAGGTGCATGAAAAATATGGCTCATGTTTCCAAAGATTTTGGCGAAGGGAAGTGGATGGGTGATGGCAGAGGGAGGAAGGATTGAACAAAGAATTTCCGAAGATGCCTGCATCATGAGTAATATTGTTAACATTTTATAACTGTCAGAAGGAAGACAGGAAATTTAATGAAGCTTTTCAAGATATCTAGAAGATTGCTTTATGATAGATGGGTGCCAGGCTGAGGTTTTCACCAAGATGAAGTCTGTTTTTTCTGACAGTTTGTCTGCTGCATTATGAGCTATTTGGGAAGGGAAAAATGGGCTTCACATTTCTTAGTGGTAAATCCTATGAAGCCCCCCCCCCTTTTTCATTACAGAACATTAAAAAGTAAGGAGTGATGAAGGAAGTTAAATGGGGATACTCAGCTTTATGAAATATAAACCCATAAGCATTCTTGCAGAGCGTGGAGGAGACACTCTTGACTCTCAGAAGAAGGCTTTATCTTTATTTTATGTCAAATGATGACCACCAAGGGTACCCAGCTGTGACTAATGTGGTGTTTAGAGTTGGGACATTTCTATTTGTCTTCCTGCCATTCTTTCTGGTCTCAGCACAACCAACTTGGAAAGATAAATCCCATTTTCTCTTTTCCACAAAAGATGAGGTGTTTTCCCTAAACCTTCTTTACCAGCATGGGAACTTCCCAACTCCTCTTCTTGGACATATCTAAATGGGACTGGAATTGATCAGTAATTCTTAACAACCCCCCTGGAAATGAGATTTTAAAACAAACAACTCACAAAAATGTTTGGATGCTAGAAATATGAGGTTTGGCATGCACTGAGTGCTATAAAAATTCAAAGCATCAGTTAGAAATGGAGACATTTAGCATAAAAACACAGGATTCTGGTTTGTCTTGAGGAACTGGGTTGAAATACAGAACTGAGACCTGGCTGCCCTCTTTAGATGGAGCACTTTCATGGCTTCCCTCAGCCTTCTGTGAGGGCCTGTGAGCAGCCGACCTTCCCCAGCGGGTCCCCTCACTCTGCTTCTCATTCCAGCAGGTCATCCCTCTGTAAACCTTAACAGAGGAAGCCAATGATTTTATTAAAAGGGATGTAAACAAATGTCATTAAGCCTTTTTAGTGAAGTGAGTCTAGCATGTTAGAAGATAAGGGATGTGTTCACTCTGTCTGCCCCTACCACAGCTCTATTATCAGTCAGTAGTGAACAAGGAAACTGAAATTGTTGAGTAAGCTGTTCTGTGATAAAGTTATAAGCTTTCTAAAGTACACACCGAAACTGACGAAAAAATACATTTCAAGCAAATCTGACATTTGTAGGTTTGGATTTACAAAAAAAAATATTTTGCCTCTTTGGTTGTAGAGCTGAAAGACAATTAGTAATTTCCCCTAAAGATACACCAAGGATTTCCTTAAATGATAAATTAATCAAATGTCTTTAAACTTGAATTTGTATTCTGAGCATTAGATGTGCCCACAGGGTTTCAGGCACATCTTGAAAGTAGGATTGCTTTTAAGTCAAGTCCTGAGTACAATTTCCTGAAGACAATTTCCATACTCCTCCTGATATTTGCAGCTACATAAAAAAAAAATCTAGCTTAATGCATCAAAATATAATCTTCAAGCTCTTAAGAGTAAAAAATAAAGATGCTTTTTAAAGTGGTCAAAGCTATTTTTCTCATTGTTATTTACGATCGGCTCTAAGAGAGGACATAGGCACTTGCCATCCATCCATGCTGCAGGCATTTAGTTTAAAACATTTATCTTAAAAAGAAAATACTGAAGATTTATTTCAGATCCCTATCATTCTCATAAAATTGAAAAATTCATATCTGCCAGCTCCATCACTTCTTGCACTCAACTGAAGCTTTTAGTCCCCTCTTATCAACTGTTCTTGTATTGTGTGTCAGTTTCTCCACCCGTTCCCCAGTGGACTTTATTTCCAGTGTAGTCTATGAGGTGAGTTATATGCTTATTGGGAGACAATCCTGTCTAATCACTTATCATTTTTGCTCTGTCTTGTTTCTCTTAAGATTCCCTCCCTTTGAACATTTTTAAGAAAATTTGTGACATAAAAAATCATTCATTTAAATAAAATTATGATTATATTTTATATATAAATGCAAAATCCAGGGATATAAATAGCTTTTAGTGTATGTCTCTGGCTGTAACAATATATTTTTTATTGTAAAAATGTGGAAATATGATAACTTGCAAAAGAAATGTGAAATATATGTGTTCTCATCACCAGAGAGAGCTTCTGTTAGCATTTTTTTTATTTTTTTAATTTTATATATTTTTTACATCATTTTTCATTTTTGCACAATGTATGCATTTTCATCTTGGATATAGTCCCCATACAATTCCCACCACCCTTGTTTTGATCCTTCTCACTTCTCTGCCCACCCACCCCCTCCGTAGTGTGTCTCTGGTTTATAGTTGCTTGTTGATTTTGATTTTTACTTTATTATAATTAGTCCTTTTCCTGTTCCCTTATTTAGGTTTTCTAAATTCCTGCTATGAGTGAGACCATCTGGTATTTTTCTTTTTCTTTAATGTTTTTCCTACTAGTCATTTTCTTCTTTTTTCAAAATTTGTGATCTTACCTCATATTCAATATTATAACATTTTTTCACTAAACTAATGAAAACACATCATTTTACTAAATATTCTTCTGTAACTGATTAAATGGCTACATGACTTCCTACTCAATGTTCATCAGACTCTTATTTTTTTAGCTTTATTGAGATGTAATGGGGATTTTTTATGTCATCTTGTAGATCTATGACATCTTGTAAGTCTACAATATTTTATAACTATTTGGTGAGTTTAAATATTGGAAACAATTACCATGATAGCTTTAGCTGACACCTCCATTACATCACACAATTGCCTTTTATTTTTGTGACGAAAGCATTTAAGACTCACTGACTTAGCAATTTTCAAGTATATAATATAGACTTATTAACTGCATCAACCATATAGTATATTAGGCCTCAAATCTCATTCCTCTTATAACTAGAAGTTTGTATGTACCTATTAACCAACATCTCCCCAATTTCCTTGCCCTGCAGCCCTTGTATGAGTTCAACTTTCTTAGGTCTATCTGTAAATGAGATCACACAGTCATTGTCTTCGTCTGACTTATTTCTCTTAGGATAATGCTCTTAAATTCTATCCACATTGTCACAAAGGGCAGGATTTCCTTCTTATTATGGCTGAATAGTATTCCTTCGTGTGTGTGTTTGTGTGTGTGTGTACATGTGTGTGTGTGTGATATGAACATGAGGGTGAAGATGCCCCTTAGAGATCTTTCCAGATCTCAAATACCCCAAAGTGGAATTGCTAGATCATATGATAGTTCTATTTTTAATTTTTTGATAAATCTCTATACTGTTTTCCACAGTGGCTGCACCAATTTATATTCATTTTGCTCAACATTCTCCCAACAAATATTATCTTGCTTTTTTTTTTTTTTTTTTTTATGCTAGCCATTCTCAGATGTGAGGCGATGGACAGTTTGTCTACTTCAATGCTTTTTGTTGTTGTTATATGTCTGTATTTCTGACCTTGGCATTTTGGTGTATTTTCAGTATTAGAATGAATTGGTCAAATATATTGTTTCCTGAAACATGTTAAATTGCTTTCCATAAAAGTTGTATTTGAAGTCACATTTAAACCCTACAAGTCTCTCATTCCCTGGTCCCGCATATGGCTCATTCTATTGGTGTGATTTAGAGATAAGCTCTTGGAATCATCAATTAATGTAGCATCACTACCTTCATCTCTAAAATAACACAAGTTTTCCAGGGTTATTGTTTTAATTAAATTTAAAGAATGTGATGCATGTTGTAATGATTCATGTTATAGTAGAAGTTTAACTAGTTTCCTTTTCCAGATCCTTCTCTCTGCCCATTTTATAGATGAGATAACTAATTCGGAGAGAGGCCAAGTAATTTGCCCCATATCCTAGAGCGAGCTAGTCATGGATTGACACTGGCATGATGCTGGAGTCCAGGACTGCTTCTCTGTAATACAGCCTTTCAGGCCCTGCCCCCACTGATAAATAGAGGTGCCGACTTTCAGTCAATGAAACCTCCCTCAGAGCTCAAGTCAGTCCATTAGACCTGACTCATTTCCCCACCCCTGTGCCTGAGCCTGATGGGCATGACCTTCTTGGAGAATCAGACACAGAAAAATCATTGAGTAATAATGAAAATTCTGTCCACTGTGTGGCAAAAAATAATAATGAAAGCAAGCTGGGCATACCGTGAACTTATTAATTTATACATGAGTCCCGCTGAGGCCTGTTAGGAAACTGTAGAGACTTAAATTTGAAGAGAATTAGATTGCCTTTCAGAGATAATAGAACCGCTCATT